ATAAGTAATAAGGATATTAAAGTAGATGTTGTGATCCTAAGTAAAAAAATCAAAAGAACAAGAATAACCAATAACACTGCAAAAAAAAAAGAATACCTGAAAACAAATTAAATCATAGCATCTATGGCATAAACTAACAATGGGTTACAAAAAATGAAACATGAAGTGTATGAATACAGAACAAGTCTTGAAAATTCTCCCCAATCCCAAAATCATGAGAAGATGGGTTAAAAAAAATTTAAGTACTGAAATCATCTCACACCAGACAATTTACATACGAGTGAAATAAGCTCAATATGGAAAGTTATCATTTTCCTAAATTGAAAATGCATTTCCAATAGATGCTTACTTCCTCTAACAAAAAGATTTTCTTGATTTATACTGCCCTCTATCAGCACAAACCTTTGCTTGCCTTTAGCCTTGATACTCCCATTTATCCTCAGGTATGTTAATGTGAGATATCTGCATACTAACATGCAAATGATTATGCAGCAACCCTCCATCAATAGGTGTGCAACACTATCCCCATAGTATCTAGCACCCTCTCTATTCTTGCAGCTGTTAACCACTTCGAGAATCGTCAGATAAAACAAATCCACACTGGAAATGGGGAGGACAGGTGGGAAATGTAAGTGGAGGTAAGGATCTGTTCCAAAATGTATTTTCCGATATGATATCTTACTTCCTCTCAAAAAAGTTTGAATCCCACATTGAAAAGGTGAAGGGCCAGTGAGAAGATGATCCCCCCTTTAGGAAGTGGCCAAAAAAAACCATGAGGTGTGAGAAGGAACTAAAAATAATGTACCTCTGGGAGATCGCATCACTTCTGAGCCAGGTGGAAACAAGGAGAGACCCTACGAAAAGTTAAAGAAAATAAAGGGACCCTTGTGTGTAGAGTGGCTAGAGCATGACAGACTGCAGTTGGAACTTTGATCTCAACCAACACTTGGCAGCATCTGGAATTGTACATCAGGTTCGTGGTAGGAAGAGGGTCCTCTACCATTCACCTCAAAAATGGGTACCAGTAGAAAAGAGGAGCTTCTGTACCAAAAACCTACCTCTGCATGCGTGCACTTCCAACACAACCAACACCAGGCCACCAGGATCTGACATCTGGCATATAGTAGTAAGGTGGAGAGCCCAAACGGGTGTACATCTCCTGTCCAAAACCTGGTGGCATTGTGAATTTTTTATCCAGTCCACAGCAGGAGGAGGGAACCCAGCCTTACACATGCAGGAATTCATGTGTCTCACCCAGCTACAACCAACACAAGATCCATTAGATGCAGACATCCAGTAGAGGGTAGGAAGAGAGACTGCTAATTGTGGTTGCATCTCCAGTCCAAAACCTGGTGGCATTGGGATGATATCATCGTTGCCTTAGCTGGAGAGGCAAATTGCACTACATGGTGGAGTGCTACATCCAACACCTGATGACAACAGGAAGGGTATTACACTATCTACATCAGCAAAATGCTACCTCCCTACTCTCAACTGAGTGATATTTGATATTGTGTACACTCAGGAGGACAGGCCTCCATGGTCCACCACCCCAGTGGCTAGGAACTAGAAGAAAGAGGTAAAAAGTGAATTGGAGAGTCTGGAAGACCACAGTATTGAAGACAGTGCAATGGATGACTACAATACCCTATTTTGACAACATCTGGAACTGTACATCAGGTATGCAGAGGGAAAAGCCTCAAATGCCACAGATTATCAGAGATGGAAAGTAATCCCTATCAAGTTACTCATATTAGTCCATGAGTGTATGATCCAGGACAAACATATTTATGAAGTAAAATACCATGAAGTATACCTACCAGCAGAACACCCTATCTCAACAGTGGGCATAATATGATCTGGTTATGTTATATTACATTGTATTGTGGGCATAATATGATCTGGTTATGTTATATTACATTGTATTGTGGGCATAATATGATCTGGTTATGTTATATTACATTGTATTGTGGGCATAATATGATCTGGTTATGTTATATTACATTGTATTGTGAAAAACAGAGAGATAACATAAATGGAGTCAATCACCAACACTTGGTACCATCTGGAATTGTACATCAGATCTGCAATAGGAAGAGCCTCAATGCTATGGATCATTTGAGATGTTATATGAGCACAGATCTTTCATTGCTGAATTATGACTAAGTATACCTGGACAGGCAATACTTGTCACAGAGTGGGATCCAAACATGTGAGAAAGGCCCCTGCACAGAAAAGGAAGTACTTACCACTCACTAGAAAACAAATTTGTAAAGGTATGTGGAGTGACCCACATACCTACACTGATTATGTCTCCCAAGGGAAGATGGAAATGTGCAGCCAGGAACATAGAAAGGTGGGAGATCTGTTGGGAAGAAACAACAAAATAAGTTGAAAACCATCAGGAGAAGAGGTAAGAACACACCAAGCAAATCAACTTGCGAATCCAACCTGTAATGGTAATGGGAGAAAGATCACAGGAGTGGTTAGCAGTCCAAGGAATAACTAACATAGAAATGGGAGCCATGAAAGGGAGACGTGCATGTCTTATACCATTGGAGAGCCCTGACCTTGCAAAGGAGGCAGTCAGGATTGGAATGGTTATAAAGGTGGTAAATGGAAGGAAGGGAGATGAGTGTGAATGCATAAGTATTCTCTTGAACAGCCAAAGTTTTGGGCATAAAGTAACAATCTGGAAGAAGGAGAACATAGGAACTATGAAACAAAAATGCATTGCATATAAATCATGAACACAACTCAACTACAAAGTCTGCATGCCAATATGAGCAAGAAAAGGAACTTAAAGGAAAGTGATATAATGAACATGAAGACAAAACTTCAAGAGGAGGATGTGTAAGAGCATGCTGGACCACAGTGAGATTCCAATCAGGAAGTGAAGCAGGGTAAGGAGGACAGGAACTGTGGAAGGAACAAAACAACATGTACTAGACACGTGACCAAAAACCTAAAACATGGATGATAAAGCCATCCAATAGCCCACAACACAGGAAATCAAAAGGACTCTGTCAAAAAACCAAGGTACAAATGGATGTGAAGTGAGGAACATTATGATAGGAAGGGTGATAACCACATCAGGCAGACCAACAGTGGTACATGTATCAATGACATTGGTAAACTGCCATGGAGGAAGGATAGACAGGATGGGAAGTTAAGAAAGCCACACAATGCAAAAGTCTGGCCCTTCTGGTGAGGGACTGGACAAAAGCCATGTGTGAAGACAGTGTGTGGAAATAGACAGATAATGCATGCCTAATTGGTGCTGAGGAAGGAGTGTCAGAGATAAAGGAAAGGGGCAACATCAAAAGCTTGGCAGTAGGTGAGAAGATTCAGCCACAATGATCATGAAGTTGAAAAACATCCCAAGATAAACCAAAAGTTTTTCATGGGTGTAAGAAAAGACTTCATCATCTTGAAAAGCCAACCTATTTTGGTATTTTCCTGGAGAAGAAACTGAGTAAGTAGGGCGAATTCTTCATGTGAGGAGGCCAAAAGTAACAAGTTGTCCATATAATGATGGAAACAAAAGTTCCTGGTATGAATCAGGGGGTCAATTGCTCAGACTACCAAAGAGAACCTATAAGGCACGGAGATAAGACCAAACAGAAGTGCCTGAAACTGAAATACATACACACTTGATGAGCAAAGTGAAGAACTGGATGCATGGGATAGGGGAAGATAGAGTGAAAACAAAAACAAAAAACAAAATACAACTTCAGGTGAACTTTGGAAGGACTAATAAGCACTTCAAACACAATAAATCAATGATCAGGTGCCAATCCCTTGTCTTGTGGGGAACAAAAAACAGACGAGATGAAATACAAATGACTATGCAAAGTTAAATACCATCTTACACTTGTCTGTAAGTTACAAAAACGTAAATCTCATATGATTCTTGTCAAGAGTTACGTGCCAGACTTTAAGAGGATTATAACATTATATTTTTTCCGATCTTCTGGATATAAAAATTTTACTGATTGTTACTTTGTTTATTCATGAAATTAATGTATCAGACCTTATATCTGACTCTTACTCTTACTTTGCCCTTAAATACAACCACAGATTCACTTCATATAAAAACAGTAAAATTCAGTCAAAACACAAATGAACTTTGATTGTCCAATTTTGTAAACAAAGAATAGAGACATAGCATCAGTCTGCTAAAAGCCCTAAATACTGTTTGGTGGGATCTGTTTACAGCCCTTATGTATTTTTCAAACATCAGGGTCTATTGCATATGTGCATAACAGAGGAATAAGAGCTCACAGGGAAGTAAGACAGAAGTGCTTTGAATACCAAAATCTCCATGGTGCAAATATTCAAAGAAGAGGATAAAGCCCTCATCTTCCAGGAGTTGAAAAAAAATCCCCTGGTGAACAAGAAACTGAGAAGTCAAAATGGACTTGTAAAATTAGACTAGCTAGTCCAGGTGAGAGGCCTTCCTGAGAATAATAGAGGTAACAATTGTCAATTCCTGTTGAGGTGGGGCTAGGAGAAGCTATACAACCACGTGACAAGGGAAAGGAATGCCCAAAAGATGCATGTGCTGGGCAAAGAAATATATAATCCAGCTGAATAGGTAAGAGACCATAGGTATGCCAAAGGGAAAGGCATGGAACTGAAAGACATGACCACTGAGGACAAAAATGGGGATGTGACAGAGCACAGGACAGATAAGAATGTGAAGGAAAGCATTTGAGACATTTACCTTGGTAAAATACAGATCAGGAGAGAGTTAGGGCCCAGAACAAACTGAGAAAGTGCTTCATCAATAATATATGAACAACAGAAAGGTATCCTGATGCAAAAAAAGTCAATGTCAGGGTGCCAAACCCCAACATACAGATAAAAATTAGAGGGACACTCAATAGAATACATACCTCTGCCATGTAGCGTTGATCATATATAGCTTTAAAAAAATAAACAAATGTGTCCGTATATCCGTCATTATCCACGGACATGGACCATTTTTGGCAGGATAATGAGGAAAAACATTCTACATAAATCCACCAAGTTTCATCATAATCCAATCATTTTTAATTGAGTTACATAGCAAAAATAGTTGGAAAAATTGGTCTTCATGTTAACAAATAGGTATTTTTTTTTATTTTCATGACCTTGCTGTGACTTTGCACCTCTAAAAACTAATCACTTCTAAGTTGGGTTATAGTCCAAACGTATACCAAATTTCTTCAAAATCCATTCAGCCATTTTCAAGAAATCTTACTAACAAACACACACGGGTAGAAAACATAACCTCTGTCCATCTATGGTAGAATATCACATACCTGATTTATGTACCTCATCAGAGTGAGAAGAGCCAGGAACAAATATGGGGTGAGAGAGGTGACCAATATCATCCATGGTTGAAGCAGACTTCATAGAAGACAAAGAAATAAAATGACTAAGGGCATATAGGAGAAGACATTGGCAGAAGGGAATCAGCCACTTGATGCAAGAAAGTGAGAACATATTAATGAGTGAATGTGTTGGTACAACAAGGTTTCTCACAGCTCAGTAAGGTCGTGGAATCGAAGTTATGAATAAGACTGAAAGTACTTCACCATAGAGTGAATTCTGAAACCTGTCACACACAGGTGTATGCTCTAATAAGTGAGATAAAGAGGAAATAACTAAATGTCAGGTCAATATTATATTTGTTATCTCTCTCTCTCTCTCTCTTATATATATATATATATATATGTGTATATATATATATTTTTAAGTGGCATACCTTGTGAAAAGTAGTCTAAAGTATAGATATGGTGGCTATAGAAAATGAAGTTGCAGTCAACTGTATGGAACAAAAATAAAATGAGAATGAAAGCAATGCAGCACTAAACAAAAAGGACAGTCAATTACATCAACTAGAAACTCAAAAAGCACAGGAAAAAACATGTTTGAACACAGACAGTGCCAAGGAAAGATGACCCTATGATCATGTGATAGTGCTCACAGGGATTACCATGCATGGAGGTCATGTCATCCTCCTATTAATGAAAGGCTACAACATTATGATGATTGTCATACGCTGGCACAATACACGTGTGGGTTGGAAGTTGTTCAAGGCTTGTAGCATGCACAGGAATTTCCATTGCAGTTGAGTGCAAGGTAATAGTTCTTAGTGAAGAACTATGTAACAACCATTTTTATTCAGTATCATACTCTGCTTTCAATTTTTTCTAAGAAAATTTTGTAATTTTGTTTGTCTTATTAGTAAGTAGACATATTTTGTTCAGTAAAATGATGTAAAATCTATGAATTTTTATTCTGACTAATGAAACTTCAGATTCAGGAGTAAATACCTGAATTCTGACCAATTAAACAAATTTCATAATAACTAATTTACCAAAAAATAATTAAATTTTAAAAATATAGGTATGTTTGTATGATAACTGAAAATTATTTCAAATATTATATACACTAGCTAGTTTTATAGCTTTACAAAAATACTACGAAAATAACAGTAATTTTTAAATACCCATACCTGTACAAAATCCATAGTACTGTAAGTGTTTTTTCATAAAGTTTTCATATGGAGTCTTCATGGTGCATTGAAAATAAACAGTATAAAGAAGTAAAAATTATAGATATTCAAAACTGAATAATTTGTCAATATTTCCATGAAGTATTCATTAACTCATCAATACTTTCAGTAAAGGTTTAAAAGCAATCTGAATAAAATATTTACTCTATGCTGAAGTATAAGGTACACTTTTTCAATTTTCACTTAAATTAGTCTTGAAAGAACTCTTTCTTTAAAAATTCATAATTTTCACAAATTAATTACTCGTTCAATAATTATCTCTATGGAAACTCATATAATATAATATATATATATTTATCTCTGCAGTGAATATCATTCAAGCAACATTCCCATGTAAAATAAATCATACTAATACATAAATCAACTGGGTATCTTAACCAAATGTGCACTGGACTGATCCTGTATTTGAGAAAAAATGCTAACAATAATTCTGAATTTCTATGTTTATCTACACACACAAAAAAAAAACAAATCTATAAATATGCATTTCAGAGGTTTTGCAAATGCAATATGCAAACCGTACAATAGACAAAAATATTTTTGTTTGTTTACATGAACTTCATCTTGCATTCCAATTTGTTAAAGTCTGAATCTGACTGATATCATCAGTTCACAGAAATATCATAGTTTAAATATTTTTGTAACATATCTGAAATTTTGTGTACATTTTTCTAAAAGCATGCCACATTTCATGTAGATGAACATAATGAATTCAGAATTATGGTTAACATTCCTTTCACCCATTCTCATGACTAAGTTATTCAGAGATTTAACATCACTTTATAATCAGTATCTCAATTGAATCTCCTGTTATTATTAAGTAGACTTATCCCATTACTGTAAAAATAATTTAGTACAACTTGATATACCACACTAACAGAGTCCACTCAAATTGGACTCCATTAGTACAGTATTATTACATTCTGAGTTTGCATTGTTTATTTCAATGGTATCTGTACTCCCACTAGTTGTAAATTGACTAGAAGAAGATCATCATAATTGCTAAACATTTATCCATCATTTAGCAGAGACCAATGTGTGTGAATGTTAGCACCAAAAACAGTGTCAGCAAGTGGGTGCTTGGAAAATAAGTGAGAGATATATCAAACAATATGTTACGACAGCGGAAGTCACGTAATCATTCTCATGATTAAGTTATTCAGAGATT